CTTCAAGACGTGCAACAGGCGCAAAGGTCTCATCGTAGTCGAGTCCTTCAATCTGTGCAAATCCTTTTGCCACCAATATTGCTTTATTTAGAATAATAAATCTTGCGTCGTCTAGCTTGTTGCGAAATACCCATCTTGTACCGACAATGGGATGATTCTGAGGAGGAGGCACGAGAGTCCAAACTTCATTTCGGTCAAATTCTGCCAGTTCTTCTTGCATGGCTGTAATCCAGTCAGCATGCTCTAATGCTTCCTTGATGGATTTGGGTTCAACCATGGATATGAATGCTGAGAAATGACATTCATTTTGGATATTTGTAGCAGAACGACTCTGCACACTAGCGTTGGGGTTTCCGATTACTTGGTTCGTAGGATAATCCTTTGTCCAGATATATGTAACCTTGGGAGTTCTTGTGCGTCCGTCGATCCGATATCAACAGTGGAATTGATTTGCTCCCCCTGAATGATTTGAATGTGAGGATGATGCTCCCCCTGAACTTCTGAACCAGAGAGATTGACATCATCATCAGAAGGGAACTCAAAGAAATTTTCATTTTCATAAATGTTGAGAGGATTGGAGTCATCAAAATCAGCAGCTGCATCTTGGAAGCCATCCACGTTTGATTCAAAAGAGGGATGAGCATTCTCCCCCTCAACCTGAGAAGGTTGAAATGGTTCGGAATCAAATGGAGGGAGGCTTGGGATCGGACCGGAGACTTTTCGCGAGACAGGGGCTTCCGAAGGAGAGATTGGATTGAGGGTTGGCCTTGTTCGAGATTCCGAATCAAGGGCGGTTTCGGAAGGACCAAAGAGAGTTTCAAAGTCAACTTCAAGAATTGTTTGGGGGTTCGGACATCCTGGCGGAGGAGCATCAGACTCCAAAAATGTGAGTTGTAATATGGGTTGGGCCAGAATTCCGAACGAAGTTGTCATCAAAAGTAACGTCAAAGCTTTCTTCCAGAACACGAGTTCTCCGGTTAAGAATTTTGTAAGCTTTCGATTTTGAGGAGTACCCAAGGAAGATGGCTTCATCAGCTTTAGGTTGAAACTTGGTAAGCTGATCACGGTTGTTCTTGATGAAGCACCTGCATCCGAAAACATGAAAAAACGAGATTGTTGGATTCGGACCATTCATTGCTTCGTACGGTATCATGTTGAGGCGTCGATTGATGACACTCCGATTTTGAGTGAAACAGGCAGTAGATACAGCTTCAGCCCAAAGATAGAGTGGTAGATTTGCGAAGTTCAGCATGGATCGAGCAGCTTCAACAAGAGTTCTATTACATCTTTCGACTACACCATTTTGTTGTGGAGTATATGGAGCTGAGAAGTTGTGGTCAATTCCTTTTTCAGTGAGAAATTTATCAATGGTGGAATTAGTGAATTCCGATCCATTGTCACTTCGGATTCTTCTAACTGGGAGTTTGATAAGAACTTCTATTCCTTTGACAAAATTTATGAGCTCTGAGGCTGTTTCGGATTTCAGCCTTAGGAAGAAGGCCCAAGTGAACCTTGTAAAATCATCAACAATCACAAGAATGTATTTCTTATGATGAAGACTTTCTATAGTGGATGGTCCACAAAGATCAATGTGAAGAAGCTCCAATGGTTCCGAAATGGATTTTTCGATAATAACAGGATGAACCTTCTTCGATTGCTTATAACAATCACAAGCAGCACACAAATGATCATTTTCGAATTTGAGAAGAGGTAAACCTTTCACCATTTCGCCGGATACGAGATCATTCATGTACCGAAAGTTTAGATGAGCGAGCCTTCGGTTCCATAACCAACTGACGTCAGGAACAGCTTTGGTGAGAAGGCAGAGTTGCGGTTTGCCAATAATCATGTTGATGTCGAGCGGGTACATGTTCTTGTTGCGAAGCGACTTGATAAAACACTCTTTCTGGTCTTCAGTCATTACATAGCTGTATTTTTTGCAAAATTCCACACGTTGATTTGAATCAGTGAGCTGAGCGACACTTATCAAATTATGTTTCAGATCAGCTACATAAGCCACATTTGAGATAGAGAAATTTCCATTGGTGAGAATACCATAACCACGAATTTGGGAGTTGGAGTTGTTGCCATATGTCACGTAACCAGCGTTTGGAGAAAGTTTTGGATCACGCAGAAAATCTTTCTGCCCCGTCATGTGCATGAAGCAAGCACTATCAATATACCATATTGTTTCTTGCTCCGAAGCACAAAGTGGCTGCAAACTTTAACGAGTAATGGAGTTTTTAGGCTCCGAATTAGACTTTGGGACGTAGGCACGGGCTTTGGACTTTGATTGTGACTTAGGAACAACTTTGTGTTTCTGGGTGGTATTATTTGAATTCTTTGGAAACAGACAGAAGGCTAATGTCTTTTCATCTATCTAGTAGTTATATTCAATGACTTGGGGTTTCCGATCAGTCTTCTTCGGACCTTTGACTTCCGGAGTGTTGGAAACAGTTGTAACCTCCGGAATTGTTGTTTCATCAATGAGAGATTTGACTTTCCACACAATATTTTTCTTTGAAGATTTTGAGAAATTTGTTTTCTTTTCATTTGTGGATTTGCTTGATGACGCATTGGTTTTTGAAATATTGGGTTTAAAAATTGTGCCATCAGATTTAGCAATAAAAATAGATGAAACAGTCTGAGGAGAAGTGTTTTGGACGGTCATGGCATTCACACGAGATTTAGGCTGAGTAGAACTGACTACTTTCTTGGGTTCTACACGACTGAGAGATTCAGAAGGTCTTTTTAGGATCTTAGTGGGAGCAAAGGAGTTTTGACTATGGGTTGATGCATGAGAATTCCGGGATACACTTGGTTTGGAGTTTTCAATGAATCTGGAATTTTGTCTAGTCTTAACTTCCTTTTTATGTGCATTTCGAGCTTCTACTTTGGGATCTACAATATCCTTCCTATTCAGCATTGGTTTTCTCTTAAGGTGAGACGAGGATTTTGAAGTTTGTCCTACGGATGAATTACTAAACTCAGGATTAATGGGAACCAATTTAGTTTTTGAGACGACTAAGGAATCCGATTCGCAAGAATCAGAGGAGACACAACTTGATTTTTCAACTTTATCATCTAAGGATGCCCATTCAAACTCAGAGGTAATAGTTTCAGTTGTCACCGGAATGATTTCTTCAATCACACATTTGTTCGTATGATTACTCCTAGGAACATAATCTACGCAATTTGAAAGACTGTGATGAAATTTCGTGATCCGATTCAGGTCCAGGTTTATCAGAGGTGGAAATGGCGTGGAATTAGGACACTTGACAACAATGGGTTTGAACTCAGGAATTAGGGACTCAAAATGGTTTGTGGTCTCAGGAAGTTGTGACAAGGGAGAAACAGGGGTGTCCGAATGTTTGATGTTCGGAACCTCTCCCATGAATGTTAAATTTTGCAATTCCTTCAAGGGACTAGCAATTGGTTTCGGAAACTCGCTTCCGAGACCAGGTGCTTTAGACCATGGATGACGAAAATTATGAGTCATCCGAATATCCGCTTCAAGCATGTCTATTGAATTATTCGAATCATCTATCTTAGCGTTGAGACGTTTGTTATCAGAAATCAAAACATTTCGTTCAGAATAGGTGATTTCACATTTATCTTTTAAAATGATACATTCATCGTTTGACATTACAAGTTCACGCTCTAAAGACTCGATTTTCAATTTTTTATCTTCGAAGTGTAACCTAAGACGATTTAACTCACACTCCTTCTTCTCACTCACGTCTATGGAAGACTCATAGGCTTTATAGATGGTGTCCATATCTGTTTGAATTTGGGTTAGATAAGGTTCACAAAGAGACAAATCAAAATTATTATCAGAGATCATAGATTTTACCTGCTGAACGATGCTTCGACCAAGTGGATCGTTGGTTGCCATGTAGCAATACTGAGGTTCAACAACACCATCTTCATCTTCTGACCCAGATGAACAATACCATTCATCACATTCAACAGTTTGTCTTGCCATCAAACACATATTCCTTCCAGTTACCATGTCATCATCATCCCCGGATGACCAATATCCTTCAACATCTCTCTAAACCGTTGTTACAAAGGCTTTTTCGCTTTCAGCCATCTCTTGGGCTCTTCGGACGTAGTAGGCAGAATCCTTGATTTTTCGTTTCTGCGGAGCATCAGCCAGGCAATCTTTAGCAAAATGGTTTGCATGTCCACACTTGTGACACATAATTTTTGGTTTATCCGATTTAGAACACTGAGAAGGTTACGGAGTAGAGTTTGGCTTAGTGATGGTCGGTTTATATGCGAGAGGATTTTCCGAAGTTGGTTTAGATTCCGGAGCTGAGTATGGTTGAGGATTGTTATGGTGAGGAGCATGGAATCGGTTTTGGTATGGTTTGTAAGAGGGATTGAAAGGACGTTTGTATTTCATTGAGAGTAGAGAAAACTCCTATTGGAAACGGAGTTCGGAGTCCACGGCTTCGGAATCATCAACAAGATAGATTTGTGCGGGTAAGATGGGAGCGGATGATTGAACAGATGGAACAATGGGTTTAAAAGGATCCGAAGTAGATAAGTTCGGAATGGTTGGTTCGAAAGCACTGACAAGGGCAAGAGGACCTCCAGAGAGTTCCCTTATGGTTTGAGCAACATTAGACTCGTGTCCTTGAAGTTCATCAAAAAGTTGATAGAGCTTTAACTTTTTCAAGTACCATTGTCTCTCTATGGCTCTCTCTCTCTCTCTCTCTGTCTGTCTCTCTCTCCCTCATAAAACATTGTCAAAGTCGATGGTTTTCTGCTGATTCTACCCTGTTTCTTGTTGTGAAAATTCGATTTCATGAAAATCGAATTTCCTTACACATGTATCGAGTTGTTTCCTGAAAATCGATTATCTGGTTTTCTATTGATTCTACACACAACTCGTCTTCTCGATTTCCTGAAAATCGATTACAATGAAAATTGAATTTGTTCATTTTTAGTTTTATTCAGTAATATCGATTATCTAGTTGTTTTGGTGAAGATCTATGCTTATTCAAGGAAATAGAGCTAGAGATTTCATTGAGATGGAGCAAGATGTGAACTTAGAAGAAGAAATGCAAGAGTCAGATGACGACTTCCTTGAATCTGAAGAAATTAGACATAATACAATAGTGCAAAATGAGGAAACTTCACCAAGTGTTCTCTCTAATAAGAGGAGTCGACATACCTATGATGTGTTCCATAATGCGGTTGGTTTGATTACTGAAATTCTTAAAGAAATGTCAAAGGAATTGAGTCAAGGTATTAAATTTGACATGAAGATCAACGAACTAAGTGAGAAGATCCCTCTAGAGATTTGAAAGATGAATTCATTAAGTCAAGTCGAGAAGTTCAAAGCTTTGACCAAGATAAGAAGTGATCCTATAAACGTACAAAACTTTTGACAAATTGAAGAAGTCGATAGAGAGGTTTGGGTCAAATACATTTTGGAATGGTAGTATTATTAATTAGGATGTTAATTCATATTTTAGATTTTTAAGCTCTTTTGGGATGTTTATTAGGATGTTGCTTGGTATTTTGGATTTGTAAGTTTTTTGTATGTTCAATAGGGATGTATCGAAATATCGATATGCTTTTTGTTAACGTTATTATGATGCGAAGTGGAATAACTTTAAGTTATGATGTTTATTAACATGATTTTCGTAATATGTTTGTATGAATGTTCAATCAATAAATTAAAATTTTACTATTTTAAAATTCTATATAATATATGTTTACATATAACTTAGAAAACAAAGTGAAATTAAGCAAAACAGATAAAGGGCAATTCTATCATTTCCTGCGAACCAAACAGAATCTAACATTAATTTCAATTTCATTTCTTACCAACACCACATGGAATTTGATTCTAATTCATGACAGATTCCAATTCCAATTCCAATTTCAATTCAATTTTTTTCAACAATCTTTTGCGAACCAAAGAGCACCCAAAGGACTTGACTAGTCACATTCATGTCGATTTAAGAAGATGAGCAGTGTCATTTATTCTTACTATCGAATGAATTGTTAACCAACGCATGCAAGTATATTTGGGGGTTGGTATCTTATGAATAGCAATATGTTATTTAGGATAATGGGATTAAATGTTATTAGAGTTTTATTGAATTAATTTTGGTTTGTTTTGGTTTCAATGTAGATATGACAACGATTCTATTAATTTAAAAGGTAAGTTATTGCTTGCCAATTAAAAAATAATTACTATTCTATAAGTCATAGATTAAAAGCACAAATAACTTCCATCATTATTTTAAGTTGATTTAGAACCAAGAAACATTTATGTTGGTTATTCAAGTGGCGTGGTATTAATTTTCTAAACTTCTCAAGTGTGGCAGAATTTATAAAGAAAAATCCTACTTTGCTATTGTTTATGTTGTCTTTGAAAGACAAGAAATGACAATATGTTTAAGACAAAACTGTGCAAATGGTCCCTGTGGTTAGCTGAAAATTACCACTTTGGTCCGAAAAAGTTTGGACTGGCACCAATGGTCCAAACATTTCATTTTGTTGCTAGTTTAGTCCAAAATTTTTGAAACATTTTATAATGATGGATTTGTCCTTTATTATTTTAGTTTACATTTTTCTTTTATAATAGAAATTAATAATAAAACAAAAATAAAAACCTTTCTCTCTCTCTCTCTCTCTCTCTCTCTCTCTCTCAACCAACATCAATAGATCTAGTCATCCAACTTTTTTCATCTTTTTTATTCCTGTAATCAACCATCGAAGCATAAATCCAATTACACAGAAGATGAGATGATTTAGTATGGCTAAAACCTAGACCAACATACACCCCTCCCCCTTGATGTCTTCTTGCATTCCACTGATCACCCACTTCTAGTACAACGACCTGAGGCAAGCAAAAAAAAACCCTCGATTCACATAATCCATATTCATTCCAGTACTAGATAGATTTCTATAATTCACTCTGTATGATGGAAAATGCTTTGAGGTTCGAAAAGGGTTTTTCATAATAGCGGAAAATCGAAGATGAGGATGGGGATTACGACATCAGAGTGGGGAGTAGGGGAGGAGAGGTTCGTTTACCTCGATTTGGACCTGCAAGACGAGAGAGACACGAGAGGAACAGATAGATCACAATCTTCCTCTGTTGATTCTTTGTCATGTTTTGAAGATTCAAGATGGTTCAATCTGATGGAGGTATCTATAAATTACCACCGAGACATAGTAGTACACACAAATCCAGATACACATACAAAGATAGGGTTCATAAATCAAACAATGGTGCAGAGTTAGGGTTCAACTAAATTAAACAATAGTTTAACATATTCACGGTGATGGGCATAATGGTAACCTGATGAAGCTTCTTGAAGATTTGAGTATCAATATCTCCAATTTGAACTTCAAACTGATCTTCGTGACTCACTTCGAACAGAAAAAGAAGCTTTCTCCTCTGCAATCCAAGGTTTGTGGGTAGAGGTGGATGTCGATCTGAGTTGATCTGTCGGTAAGAGGAAAAGGGGCGGAGCCGATCGGTGGGCAGATGGTAGATCGGACGGAGATACGACAACAGAATGCGAGTTCAGTTTGTGTTGGGCTGGAGAAGATATAGCCCATAAATTGATTTCTTCCAAAATAGAAAGATTGTTGGTGGGTTTGAGTTGCAGGGAGGAAGAACAAGGGAAAAGGGAATGTGTTTTTGATTGTATCTGTTGTTCTCGAACAATCGTCCAGAGAGAGAGAGAGAGAGAGAGAGAGAGAGAGAGAGAGAGAGAGAGAGGGAGAGAGAGAGAGAGAGAGAGAGAGATTTGGCTTTTTTAATTTTTTTAAAATTTTCTTTTAATCAGAAAAATATTTAAATAAATAAAAAACTAAAAAAACAAAAAAAACAAGGGCAAAATTGTCTTTATAAAAAAGTTCAAAGCAAATCGGACCAAACTCGTAACAAAATGAAAAGTTTGGACCTCTGGTGCTAGTCCAAACTTTTTTGGACCAAAGTGACAATTTTCAGCTAACCACATGGACAATTTGTACAGTTTTGTCTATGTTTAATAAAGTTCCTCAAGCCCTCTAAAAACAATGTGATAACCTTAGTTTTTGGGTGGATAATATATAAGAGTAAATGTGAAATTGTATTTGGGTTTGCTACTGTTGTTATCCTTTTAAGATTTTGTAACTATTTTATCTTTTCCCTAGTTTTGCATCTTGCTAAGCTGTCTTTTAATAAAATCTTGCCTATTCCAAAAAAAATAATAAATAAATAAATAAAACTTATCAAAGATATTTGGAAAATATACTTCAAAATAGAAACTTTGCATCTCCAAATGTACATATGATTCTAGGAAACTTGACCAATAAACCCCATGTCATTTCAAGAATATAAGTAAGTGGTTTACTATTTAAATGATCAAATAAGCATAAATATATAGTATAACTAGAAAAGACCTGATATGAAGAAACAAAAAGTTGGGGAACATATTGAATCTTTTTCAATAACTTTGGGCAAGAGAATTGGTCATTTGTAGTGCCCTACAAATCTTTGGGAACAAGTGAGTGAAAGTAACATTGACAAGAACCCATTAACATGATTACCCTTTTTGTTTAATAATCATATCATTCTTCAATTCAGTATACTTTTGTTCCATTCTTTGTTTCATTATTTCATTGCTTTCACTTTGTTTTTTTCCTCTCATATTCCAAATTAATGTGAGCAAAAGAAAGGTTGAAATGACACTCAATCATGTCCAAATTATAATTAAAAGTTTGGTTTTGTAGTTCAAGTTATAAATGGATATTCTAGTTATATATATATATATATATATATAGATATATATATATATAGATATATATATATATATATATATATATATATATATATATATATATATATATATATATATATATATATAACAATTTAGGACCAAATTGATAATTGGTCTAGCGTCTAATACTTGGCATTTGGAAGATCCATGTCCATTTCCAAATGTGATCTTTCTGTATAGGTATGGGGAAATTTTACATGAACCCATGGACATGGAAAAACAAAACAAAAATCTTCTATATATGATTTAAATTTTATATAAATTTTAAGTGATTTATATCTATATTAGAAAAATAAGCAAATAAGATTTCAAGATATCCCGTAAAATCTAACCCATTTATTGAAATCATAATGTTTGATTTGACATTAATTTAAACAGTTGTTTCATAATCGAAAATACAATTTAATATAAATAACATACAAGAATCATGTGGGCCAAAATGAAAAGTTAAAATGACTAAATCAATTATAATATAAGTAACTAATATTCACTAATTCAATAAAGGAATTAGAGTAACATATTGTGCAAATGCTTTTTTGAATCAAAATTATGTATATATTTCCTGTTCTACCTTATGCTCAAATTCAAAATTATGCATATATTTGCTAAATAGTGTTATTATAATATTTTGTCATTATTCAAAGACGTTTTATCAATAACAATAAAACTTTTATCATATATATCAAAACTATGTATATAAAATTGTGACATTATTGTTACAACCGGTAGCTTTATTGTGCTGTAAAGAAATGTCATAACTTTTGACCATGCAACCATCATAAAGTTTACATTATTTCATATTTATTTGTCACGTGTGGCATTTCATGTAAAATAAATAATAAGCTTTTCAAGAAAAAAAAAATCATTTACAAAACTATTCCTACGCAATGTTATGATATTGTGACGTAATTTGGGTTAAAAAACCAGGATTTATTCCATTAAAAATCTTATATTTTGTTTTTTTTTTCTGTTTTATATTAATTAAAAAAAAAGGTTTATCTAGTCCTGAAACGAGATACCGACATGTAAATTAAGTTTACTCCATAAATATGTTATATTCTGTATTTTTTTCCCGTTTAGACCTAAAATTTTATCTTTTTAAAATAAACTCAACTTTAAACTGTTCCTCGTTATTTCATTTAATTGAGTCGGTTATTAACATGTAACATATATCCTCCTAACTCATGTTTATCCTAAATATTGATCACCTAAAAGAATAAATGATTCTACAAACCCTAGGTCATGTTCCTATTTCTTCTTCTTCTCATACATATATTGAGTCGCTTGAAATAACTTATTCTTAAAGCATTAGGAACAAAAAAGTAATAAGAAATGTCGAAATTGAATTGTGTTATTATGAGGATGAAGCTCGTTTATTTACCTCTTGTCATAAGGTTGTTCTCACAAGATTGAGTTTGTTTTTAAAGGTTGTCCTAAGACTATTTTTACAAGGCCTGATGATGTATATATTTTTACAGTGTATTATGACAATTTTGCAAATCTTTAAGCTTATTTTGTCT